GCCCCGCCCCACACAGTGAACACTGGGGGGCCCCAGGAGTCCCCCAGGGTGACCAGCACCGGCCCCGCCCCACACAGTGAACACTGGGGGGCCCCAGGAGTCCCCCAGGGTGACCAGCACCGGCCCCGCCCCACACAGTGAACACTGGGGGGCCCCAGGAGTCCCCCAGGGTGACCAGCACCGGCCCCGCCCCACACAGTGAACACTGGGGAGCCCCAGGAGTCCCCCAGGGTGACCAGCACCAGCCCCGCCCCACACAGTGAACACTGGGGGGCCCCAGGAGTCCCCCAGGGTGACCAGCACCGGCCCCGCCCCACACAGTGAACACTGGGGGGCCCCAGGAGTCCCCCAGGGTGACCAGCACCGGCCCCGCCCCACACAGTGAACACTGGGGGGCCCCAGGAGTCCCCCAGGGTGACCAGCCCCGCCCCACACAGTGAACACTGGGGAGCCCCAGGAGTCCCCCAGGGTGACCAGCACCGGCCCCACCCCACACAGTGAACACTGGGGGGCCCCAGGAGTCCCCCAGGGTGACCAGCACCAGCCCCGCCCCACACAGTGAACACTGGGGGGCCCCAGGAGTCCCCCAGGGTGACCAGCCCCGCCCCACACAGTGAACACTGGGGAGCCCCAGGAGTCCCCCAGGGTGACCAGCACCGGCCCCGCCCCACACAGTGAACACTGGGGGGCCCCAGGAGTCCCCCAGGGTGACCAGCACCGGCCCCGCCCCACACAGTGAACACTGGGGGGCCCCAGGAGTCCCCCAGGGTGACCAGCACCAGCCCCGCCCCACACAGTGAACACTGGGGAGCCCCAGGTGTCCCCCAGGGTGACCAGCACCAGCCCCGCCCCACACAGTGAACACTGGGGGGCCCCAGGAGTCCCTCAGGGACTTCTGGGGGCTGCCCTGAGTCCCGAGACTCGCCTTGAGTCTAAGGGCTCACCGGGAGCCCACCACGGCTGAGGGCACACCAGGAGCCCACCACGGCTGAGGGCACACCAGGAGCCCCCCACGGCTGAGGGCACACCAGGAGCCCACCACGTCTGAGGGCTCACCAGGAGCCCACCACGGCTGAGGGCTCACCAGGAGCCCACCACGGCTGAGGGCACACCAGGAGCCCACCACGGCTGAGGGCTCACCAGGAGCCCACCACGGCTGAGGGCTCACCAGGAGCCCACCACGGCTGAGGGCACACCAGGAGCCCACCACGGCTGAGGGCACACAAGGAGCCCACCACGGCTGAGGGCACACCAGGAGCCCACCACGGCTGAGGGCACACAAGGAGCCCACCATGTCTGAGGGCACACCAGGAGCCCACCACGGCTGAGGGCTCACCAGGAGCCCACCACGGCTGAGGGCTCACCAGGAGCCCACCACGGCTGAGGGCTCACCAGGAGCCCACCACGTCTGAGGGCACACCAGGAGCCCACCACGTCTGAGGGCACACCAGGAGCTCAACACGTCTGAGGGCACACCAGGAGCCCACCACGGCTGAGGGCACACAAGGAGCCCACCACGTCTGAGGGCACACCAGGAGCCCACCACGTCTGAGGGCACACCAGGAGCCCACCACGGCTGAGGGCACACCAGGAGCCCACCACGTCTGAGGGCACACCAGGAGCCCACCACGGCTGAGGGCACACAAGGAGCCCACCACGGCTGAGGGCACACCAGGAGCCCACCACGGCTGAGGGCACACCAGGAGCCCACCACGGCTGAGGGCACACAAGGAGCCCACCACGGCTGAGGGCACACAAGGAGCCCACCACGTCTGAGGGCACACCAGGAGCTCACTTCGTCTGAGGGCACACAAGGAGCCCACCATGTCTGAGGGCACACGAGGAGCTCACTACGTCTGAGGGCACACCAGGAGCCCACCACGTCTGAGGGCACACCAGGAGCCCACCACGTCTGAGGGCACACCAGGAGCTCAACACGTCTGAGGGCACACCAGGAGCCCACCACGTCTGAGGGCACACCAGGAGCCCACCACGTCTGAGGGCACACCAGGAGCTCAACACGTCTGAGGGCACACCAGGAGCCCACCACGGCTGAGGGCACACAAGGAGCCCACCAAGATCAATCCCCCGGCAACCCACCGGTGCCAAACACCGTCACCCCGCCTGGAAAAAAAGCCAGAACACATAATACAGAAACATGAAGGAAGTATCACTTAGTGGGCCAGCCAAAGGCTGAAGGTCCGCGCAGGAACATCCCTGAAAAAATTGTCGCAGGATATTCAAGAGGAGCTAAATATAACCAATGATGCCAATATGAGAATAAAAGCGCATAAGGCTAACAATATTAAAGATATCAGATTCACCAAGGAGTCGTCTATCGAGGGACAAATGTCTTTGAGGGACATCAGGAAAGCAAGACATACGATCGTCCTGAAAATCGGGACATTTCACATTTGCACGACTGTAAGAGGGACAATGCAGTTTGGACAATAGGGAACAAGGCGGCACTCTATTAAGTGTCAGTGAGTTAAAGATGTATGACCAATGTGTAACCTCGCCAGAGCTGTTTCCTACCGTTGGTTACGGTGGTGGGAGGAAGGCCAAAGGGATATAGTACATTCAAGAATGCAGAGTTTGAACCATGTGACCACTGAACACTGACCTAGCCAGCAGTCTCGGATGGAGGAATATATGGTAGGGTAAAAGTCTGAATAAGGAATACCTTTTGAGGAAATAAGACAACTGCGGATAGCCTCCTTATCGGCAGCGTTCGCACGCTCATTTAAGGACATGAACACATCCCTGGAAACACAAACCAAAACTGTCTCTATTTTCCGCTTGTTACAACTTGTAATAAAGTTGTTACATCTTGGCTTAACGTGTTTATGACGTATTAGAACGTTGTTACAACTTGCTATATTGGTTGTTATAACTAGTTAGGAGGTGTTAAAACTTGTTCGAACGTTGTACCAACGTCGTAGTTTCGGTGTGTGTTTGGCGGGATGGCTGGGAACCCAGCAAAACTCCACTGTATGAAATTTGCTGGAGATAAGGAACGTCCAATTTCGACTACCACAGGATGGACTGGATTACAGGGCTCTAGAGCCATGAGGGCACCGTGAGAGTCAACTACAACCACAAAGGAGGATTGACAGCAAGAAAGCAGTTGATGAAGATCACATAAAATAGCATAAAGTTCTGCCATGCAGATGCTAGTCTCTGGAGGCAAGCGACACATATAGGTGTGGTCAGGGGAAACCACAATATGGGGCGTACACCGTCTGCAGACTAAGACCCATCGGTGAAGACGGAAATGGTATGGAAGTGTGAAGAAAAATGTTCAAGGAAAAGTTGTTTCAGAATTGTAAGAGGGGTACATGCCCTCCAAGCCATGTAGGTCAAAGTCTTACACAACTTTTTAAGTGGGGCCCTCCACGGGAAGGGAAGGGGGGGGGGCAAGGATGAAACGACCTGAGGAGAAATATTGGTAACATGAACCGAGAGAGAATCTTGTAAGCGAGACAACGGTACAAAATAAGGAAGGGGTGAAGGGGAACAGGGCCCACAGGAGGGGTATTGGTCAAGGCACAAGATAAGCGAGAGTGAGGGTGGTGTAGGGACCGCGCAAGGTAGCGAAGACTGTAGGGATCCCTGTGATCCTGGAGAGAGAGGACGCCGGTGTCAACATACAGGCTCAGGGTAGAGGACCAACAAAAGGTACCAGAGCGGAGTTACCGAGTTGGTAACCCAGTATGGTGGAGAACATCAAGACGGCGAACGGTAGAGGGAGAGGCAGACGAGTATACAGGCCAACCATACTCCAGTTTACCCAGCACGAGAGAGGAATGTGCGCCTCTCCACTCCCCAGGAAGTATGGGACAAAACCTTAAGGAGGTTAAGGGCCTTAGAACATTCAACTCGGAGGTAAGAGATATGGACCGACCAACACAAACGAGTGTCAAAGATTAACCCCAAAAGCTTAGCAAAATCTTTGTACACAAGGGGGTAATCATAAAGCAACAGACGGGGGTCGAAGAATGTCCTGCTTCGGAATAAATATCATAGCACAGGTCTTAGTTGTAGAGAACTTGAAGCCATAAAGTCACAGGAGGCCTGTCCGGAGACCGGGCCGCGTGGCCGTTGATACCCGGAAGCTACACAAGATAGATAGATGATTGGTGGCCCAGGACGACACGGGATCAAGCACAAGTTGAAACCGTCGGTGGAGGAAAGGCGAGTCATCACCTCGACAGCAGAGGGTAAGATCGTCAACATAGAGAGCTGAGAGGTAAGGCAACGCAGGGAGCTGAGAAGATGCCAGAGGAAAGGGACGAAAGAAGACCACTGAGGGCAACCAGGAAAATAGTAGTGCCGTACCCTGGGGCACACATCGTATTGCTGAAAGAGGCAGAGAGAGAGAGCGGTACCAAGCCTCACCCTAAAGAACGACTAGAGAGGAAGCTCTGCAGGAAGAGATGGAGATTACCACGAAGGCCAAAGAACAGAGTTGGGACAGTATATGGTATCTCCAGGTGGTGTAATACGCCTTTTCCAGGTCAAAAATGGCAGAAACAACGGAGGTCTTCGCAGCAAAAGCAGTACGAATACAGACCTCCAATTTAACCAAAACATCAGTCGTGCTGCGACACTTGCGAAAACCAAATTGAGAAGAGAAGAGGAAGTGATAGCGTTCCAAGAACCACATCAGACGGACATTAACCATACGCTCAAAGAGTTTGTAGAGGCAACTCGTGAAGGCAATGGGGCGGAAGTCCTCAGGGGCTGTCCAAAGAGAACCAGTTTTCCGAATTGGAAGAACACAACCGCCAGGAGCCAGTCCTCGGGGACAGACGACGACTCCCAGACACGGTTATAAATATTCAGTAAATACTGAAATGTGCAGAGAGGGAGATGGCGAAGCATCTCATAAGGAATGTCATCCTAGCCCGCTGCCGTAGAACCAAAGAAGGCTAGAGCAGACTGAAGTTCCGGGAGAGAGAAAAGGTTATAGAGGAGCTGTAGATAGGTGCGAAAGTCAAATGGGCAAGATTCAAGAAGAGTTTTACGAGCGGGGAAAGATGGAGGAAGATGGCCATCGGGAACATTCCCATGATGCCCTTGGCCATCGGGAGGTGGCCACACAGTCCCTTAACATACAAGAGATGACCACACAGTCCCTGGACATACAGGAGGTGGCCATACAGTCCCTGGACATACAGGAGGTGGCCATACAGTCCCTGGACATACAGGAGGTGACCACACAGTCCCTGGACATACAGGAGGTGGCCATACAGTCCCTGGACATACAGGAGGTGGCCATACAGTCCCTGGACATACAGGAGGTGACCACACAGTCCCTGGACACACAGGAGGTGGACACACAGTCCCTGGACATACAGGAGGTGGCCATACAGTCCCTGGACATACAGGAGGTGGACACACAGTCCCTGGACACACAGGAGGTGGCCACACAGTCCCTGGACATACAGGAGGTGGCCACACAGTCCCTGGACATACAGGAGGTGGCCATACAGTCCCTGGACATACAGGAGGTGGCCATACAGTCCCTGGACATACAAGAGATGACCACACAGTCCCTGGACATACAGGAGATGGACACACAGTCCCTGGACATACAGGAGGTGGCCACACAGTCCCTGGACATACAGGAGGTGGACACACAGTCCCTGGACATACAGGAGGTGGCCATACAGTCCCTGGACATACAGGAGGTGGCCACACAGTCCCTGGACATACAGGAGGTGGACACACAGTCCGTGGACATACAGGAGGTGGCCATACAGTCCTTGGACACACAGGAGGTGGCCATACAGTCCCTGGACATACAGGAGGTGGCCATACAGTCCTTGGACACACAGGAGGTGGCCATACAGTCCCTGGACATACAGGAGGTGGCCATACAGTCCCTGGACATACAGGAGATGGCCATACAGTCCCTGGACATACAGGAGGTGGCCATAAAGTCCCTGGACATACAGGAGGTGGCCACACAGTCCCTCGACATACAGTCCCTGGACATACAGGAGGTGGCCACACAGTCCCTGGACATACAGGAGGTGGACACACAGTCCCTGGACATACAGGAGGTGGACACAGTCCCTGGACAAACAGGAGGTGGCCATACAGTCCCTGGACATACAGGAGGTGGACACACAGTCCCTGGACATACAGGAGGTGGCCATACAGTCCCTGGACATACAGGAGGTGGCCATACAGTCCCTGGACATACAGGAGGTGGACACACAGTCCCTGGACATACAGGAGGTGGCCATACAGTCCCTGGACACAAAGGAGGTGGCCATACAGTCCCTGGACATACAGGAGGTGGCCATACAGTCCTTGGACACACAGGAGGTGGCCATACTGTCCCTGGACATACAGGAGGTGGCCATACAGACCCTGGACATACAGGAGATGGCCATACAGTCCCTGGACATACAGCAGGTGGCCATAAAGTCCCTGGACACACAGGAGGTGGCCACACAGTCCCTGGACATACAGGAGGTGGCCATACAGTCCCTGGACATACAGTAGGTGGCCACACAGTCCCTGAACACACAGGAGGTGGCCACACAGTCCCTGGACATACAGGAGGTGGACACAGTCCCTGGACATACAGGAGGTGGACACAGTCCCTGCACATACAGGAGGTGGCCATACAGTCCCTGGACATACAGTAGGTGGCCATACAGTCCCTGGACACACAGGAGGTGGCCATACAATCCCTGGACATACAGGAGGTGGCCATACAGTCCCTGGACATACAGGAGGTGACCACACAGTCCCTGGACATACAGGAGGTGGACACACAGTCCCTGGACACACAGGAGGTGGCCACACAGTCCCTGGACATACAGGAGGTGGCCACACAGTCCCTGGACATACAGGAGGTGGACACAGTCCCTGCACATACAGGAGGTGGCCATACAGTCCCTGTACACACAGGAGGTGGCCACACAGTCCCTGGACAAACAGGAGGTGGCCATACAGTCCCTGGACATACAGGAGGTGGACACACAGTCCCTGGACATACAGGAGGTGGCCATACAGTCCCTGGACATACAGGAGGTGGCCATACAGTCCCTGGACATACAGGAGGTGACCACACAGTCCCTGGACATACAGGAGGTGGCCATACAGTCCCTGGACATACAGGAGTTGGCCATACAGTCCCTGGACATACAGGAGGTGACCACACAGTCCCTGGACACACAGGAGGTGGCCACACAGTCCCTGGACATACAGGAGGTGGCCATACAGTCCCTGGACATACAGGAGGTGACCACACAGTCCCTGGACATACAGGAGGTGGACACACAGTCCCTGGACACACAGGAGGTGGCCACACAGTCCCTGGACATACAGGAGGTGGCCACACAGTCCCTGGACATACAGGAGGTGGCCATACAGTCCCTGGACATACAGGAGGTGGCCATACAGTCCCTGGACATACAAGAGATGACCACACAGTCCCTGGACATACAGGAGATGGACACACAGTCCCTGGACATACAGGAGGTGGCCACACAGTCCCTGGACATACAGGAGGTGGACACACAGTCCCTGGACATACAGGAGGTGGCCATACAGTCCCTGGACATACAGGAGGTGGCCACACAGTCCCTGGACATACAGGAGGTGGACACACAGTCCCTGGACATACAGGAGGTGGTCATACAGTCCTTGGACACACAGGAGGTGGCCATACAGTCCCTGGACATACAGGAGGTGGCCATACAGTCCTTGGACACACAGGAGGTGGCCATACAGTCCCTGGACATACAGGAGGTGGCCATACAGTCCCTGGACATACAGGAGATGGCCATACAGTCCCTGGACATACAGGAGGTGGCCATAAAGTCCCTGGACATACAGGAGGTGGCCACACAGTCCCTCGACATACAGTCCCTGGACATACATGAGGTGGCCACACAGTCCCTGGACATACAGGAGGTGGACACACAGTCCCTGGACATACAGGAGGTGGACACAGTCCCTGGACAAACAGGTGGCCATACAGTCCCTGGACATACAGGAGGTGGACACACAGTCCCTGGACATACAGGAGGTGGCCATACAGTCCCTGGACATACAGGAGGTGGCCATACAGTCCCTGGACATACAGGAGGTGGACACACAGTCCCTGGACATACAGGAGGTGGCCATACAGTCCCTGGACACAAAGGAGGTGGCCATACAGTCCCTGGACATACAGGAGGTGGCCATACAGTCCTTGGACACACAGGAGGTGGCCATACTGTCCCTGGACATACAGGAGGTGGCCATACAGTCCCTGGACATACAGGAGATGGCCATACAGTCCCTGGACATACAGCAGGTGGCCATAAAGTCCCTGGACACACAGGAGGTGGCCACACAGTCCCTGGACATACAGGAGGTGGCCATACAGTCCCTGGACATACAGTAGGTGGCCACACAGTCCCTGGACGTACAGGAGGTGGACACAGTCCCTGGACATACAGGAGGTGGACACAGTCCCTGCACATACAGGAGGTGGCCATACAGTCCCTGGACATACAGGAAGTGGCCACACAGTCCCTGGACATACAGGAGGTGGCCATACAGTCCCTGGACATACAGTAGGTGGCCATACAGTCCCTGGACACACAGGAGGTGGCCACACAGTCCCTGGACATACAGGAGGTGGCCACACAGTCCCTGGACATACAGGAGGTGGACACAGTCCCTGCACATACAGGAGGTGGCCATACAGTCCCTGTACACACAGGAGGTGGCCACACAGTCCCTGGACAAACAGGAGGTGGCCATACAGTCCCTGGACAAACAGGAGGTGGCCATACAGTCCCTGGACATACAGGAGGTGGCCATACAGTCCCTGGACAAACAGGAGGTGGCCATACAGTCCCTGGACATACAGGAGGTGGACACACAGTCCCTGGACATACAGGAGGTGGCCATACAGTCCCTGCACATACAGGAGGTGGCCATACAGTCCCTGGACATACAGGAGGTGGCCATACAGTCCCTGGACATACAGGAGGTGGCCATACAGTCCCTGGACAAACAGGAGGTGGCCATACAGTCCCTGGACATACAGGAGGTGGACACACAGTCCCTGGACATACAGGAGGTGGCCATACAGTCCCTGGACATACAGGAGGTGGACACACAGTCCCTGGACACACAGGAGGTGGCCATACAGTCCCTGGACATACAGGAGGTGGCCATACAGTCCCTGGACATACAGGAGGTGGCCATACAGTCCCTAGACATACAGGAGGTGGCCATACAGTCCCTGGACATACAGGAGGTGGCCATACAGTCCCTAGACATACAGGAGGTGGCCATACAGTCCCTGGACATCAGGGACACTCTCACAATACCTCTGGCCCGACCCTGAGCACATGTGTCGGGTATTAGGAAGTGGTCACTTAACCGGACAACACTGTACACACTCTCTTGCCTCAGTTACCTTGGAGGCTAGCACTTCCCCTACCGCCTCCTGCCACAGTCTCCTGCCACAGTCTCCTGCCACAGTCTCCTGCCACACCACCTCCTGCCACACAGTCTCCTGCCACAGTCTCCTGCCACACAGTCTCCTGCCACAGTCTCCTGCCACAGTCTCCTGCCACACAGTCTCCTGCCACAGTCTCCTGCCACACAGTCTCCTGCCACAGTCTCCTGCCACAGTCTCCTGCCACAGTCTCCTGCCACAGTCTCCTGCCACAGTCTCCTGCCACACAGTCTCCTGCCACACAGTCTCCTGACACAGTCTCCTGCCACAGTCTCCTGCCACAGTCTCCTGCCACAGTCTCCTGCCACACAGTCTCCTGCCACAGTCTCCTGCCACACCACCTCCTGCCACACAGTCTCCTGCCACAGTCTCCTGCCACACAGTCTCCTGCCACAGTCTCCTGCCACAGTCTCCTGCCACACAGTCTCCTGCCACAGTCTCCTGCCACACAGTCTCCTGCCACAGTCTCCTGCCACAGTCTCCTGCCACAGTCTCCTGCCACACAGTCTCCTGCCACAGTCTCCTGCCACAGTCACAGTCTCCTGCCACACAGTCTCCTGCCACAGTCTCCTGCCACAGTCTCCTGCCACAGTCTCCTGCCACAGTCTCCTGCCACAGTCTCCTGCCACAGTCTCCTGCCACAGTCTCCTGCCACAGTCTCCTGCCACAGTCTCCTGCCACACAGTCTCCTGCCACACAGTCTCCTGCCACAGTCTCCTGCCACAGTCTCCTGCCACAGTCTCCTGCCACAGTCTCCTGCCACAGTCTCCTGCCACAGTCTCCTACCACAGTCTCCTGCCACAGTCTCCTGCCACAGTCTCCTGCCACACAGTCTCCTGCCACAGTCTCCTGCCACAGTCTCCTGCCACAGTCTCCTGCCACACAGTCTCCTGACACAGTCTCCTGCCCCACAGTCTCCTGCCACAGTCTCCTGCCACAGTCTCCTGCCACAGTTTCCTGCCACACAGTCTCCTGCCACACAGTCTCCTGCCACAGTCTCCTGCCACACAGTCTCCTGCCACACAGTCTCCTGCCACACAGTCTCCTGCCACACAGTCTCCTGCCGCAGTCTCCCTCCACAGTCTCCTGCCACACAGTCTCCTGCCACACAGTCTCCTGCCACACAGTCTCCTACCACACAGTCTCCTGCCACACCACCTCCTGCCACACAGTCTCCTGCCACACAGTCTCCTGCCACAGTCTCCTGCCACACAGTCTCCTGCCACACAGTCTCCTCTCCTGCCACACAGTCTCCTGCCACACAGTCTCCTGCCACACAGTCTCCTGCCACACAGTCTCCTGCCACAGTCTCCTGCCACACAGTCTCCTGCCACACAGTCTCCTGCCACACAGTCTCCTGCCACACCACCTCCTGCCACACAGTCTCCTGCCACACAGTCTCCTGCCACACAGTCTCCTGCCACAGTCTCCTGCCACACAGTCTCCTGCCACACACACAGTCTCCTGCCACACAGTCTCCTGCCACACAGTCTCCTGCCACACAGTCTCCTGCCACACAGTCTCCTGCCACACCACCTCCTGCCACAGTCTCCTGCCACACAGTCTCCTGCCACACAGTCTCCTGCCACACAGTCTCCTGCCACACAGTCTCCTGCCACACAGTCTCCTGCCACACAGTCTCCTGTCACACAGTCTCCTGCCACACAGTCTCCTGCCACAGTCTCCTGTCACACAGTCTCCTGCCACAGTCTCCTGCCACACTCCTGCCAGTCTCCTGCCACACAGTCTCCTGCCACACAGTCTCCTGCCACACAGTCTCCTGCCACACAGTCTCCTGCCACACACACAGTCTCCTGCCACACAGTCTCCTGTCTCCTGCCACACAGTCTCCTGCCACAGTCTCCTGCCACACAGTCTCCTGCCACACAGTCTCCTGCCACACCACCTCCTGCCACACAGTCTCCTGCCACACAGTCTCCTGCCACACAGTCTCCTGCCACACACACAGTCTCCTGCCACACAGTCTCCTGCCACACTCCTGCCACACAGTCTCCTGCCACACAGTCTCCTGCCACACAGTCTCCTGCCACACAGTCTCCTGCCACACAGTCTCCTGTCACACAGTCTCCTGCCACACAGTCTCCTGCCACACAGTCTCCTGCCACACAGTCTCCTGCCACACAGTCTCCTGCCACAGTCTCCTGCCACACAGTCTCCTGCCACACAGTCTCCTGCCACACACTCCTGCCACACAGTCTCCTGCCACACAGCCTCCTGCCACACAGTCTCCTGCCACACAGTCTCCTGCCACACAGTCTCCTGCCACACAGTCTCCTGCCACACAGTCTCCTGCCACACAGTCTCCTGCCACACAGTCTCCTGCCACACAGTCTCCTGCCACACAGTCTCCTGCCACACAGTCTCCTGCCACACAGTCTCCTGCCACACAGTCTCCTGCCACACTCCTGCCACACAGTCTCCTGCCACACAGTCTCCTGCCACACAGTCTCCTGCCACACAGTCTCCTGCCACACAGTCTCCTGCCACACAGTCTCCTGCCACACAGTCTCCTGCCACACAGTCTCCTGCCACACAGTCTCCTGCCACACAGTCTCCTGCCACAGTCTCCTGCCACACAGTCTCCTGCCACACAGTCTCCTGCCACACAGTCTCCTGCCACACCACCTCCTGCCACACAGTCTCCTGCCACACAGTCTCCTGCCACACAGTCTCCTGCCACACAGTCTCCTGCCACACAGTCTCCTGCCACACAGTCTCCTGCCACACAGTCTCCTGCCACACAGTCTCCTGCCACACAGTCTCCTGCCACACAGTCTCCTGCCACACAGTCTCCTGCCACACCCCCTCCTGCCACACACCTCCTGCCACACAGTCTCCTGCCACACAGTCTCCTACCACAGTCTCCTGCCACACCACCTCCTGCCACATAGTCTCCTGCCACACAGTCTCCTGCCACACAGTCTCCTGCCACACAGTCTCCTGCCACACAGTCTCCTGCCACACAGTCTCCTGCCACACAGTCTCCTGCCACACAGTCTCCTGCCACAGTCTCCTGCCACACAGTCTCCTGCCACACAGTCTCCTGCCACACAGTCTCCTGCCACACAGTCTCCTGCCACACAGTCTCCTGCCACACAGTCCCCTGCCACACAGTCTCCTGCCACACAGTCTCCTGCCACACAGTCTCCTGCCACACAGTCTCCTGCCGCAGTCTCCTGACACAGTCTCCTGCCACACAGTCTCCTGCCACACAATCTCCTGCCACACAGTCTCCTGCCACACAGTCTCCTGCCACACAGTCTCCTGCCACACAGTCTCCTGCCACACAGTCTCCTGCCACACAGTCTCCTGCCACACAGTCTCCTGCCACACAGTCTCCTGCCACACAGTCTCCTGCCACACAGTCTCCTGCCACACAGTCTCCTGCCACACAGTCTCCTGCCACACAGTCTCCTGCCACACAGTCTCCTGCCACAGTCTCCTGCCACACAGTCTCCTGCCACACAGTCTCCTGCCACAGTCTCCTGCCACACAGTCTCCTGCCACACAGTCTCCTGCCACACAGTCTCCTGTCTCCTGCCACACAGTCTCCTGCCACACAGTCTCCTGCCACAGTCTCCTGCCACACAGTCTCCTGCCACACAGTCTCCTGCCACACAGTCTCCTGCCACACTCCTGCCACACAGTCTCCTGCCACACAGTCTCCTGCCACACAGTCTCCTGCCACACAGTGCCACACAGTCCTGCCACACCACCTCCTGCCACACCACCTCCTGCCACACAGTCTCCTGCCACACAGTCTCCTGCCACACAACCTCCTGCCACACAGTCTCCTGCCACACAGTCTCCTGCCACACAGTCTCCTGCCACACAGTCTCCTGCCACACAGTCTGCCACACAGTGCCACACCACCTCCTGCCACACAGTCTCCTGCCACACAGTCTCCTGCCACACAGTCTCCTGCCACACAGTCTCCTGCCACACACCTCCTGCCACACAGTCTCCTGCCACACTCCTGCCAGTCTCCTGCCACACAGTCTCCTGCCACACAGTCTCCTGCCACACAGTCTCCTGCCACACAGTCTCCTGCCACACAGTCTCCTGCACACAGTCTCCTGCCACACAGTCTCCTGCCACACAGTCTCCTGCCACACAGTCTCCTGCCACACAGTCTCCTGCCACACAGTCTCCTGCCACACAGTCTCCTGCCACACAGTCTCCTGCCACACAGTCTCCTGCCACACAGTCTCCTGCCACACAGTCTCCTGCCACACAGTCTCCTGCCACAGTCTCCTGCCACACAGTCTCCTGCCACAGTCTCCTGCCACACAGTCTCCTGCCACACAGTCTCCTGCCACACAGTCTCCTGCCACACACTCTCCTGCCACACAGTCTCCTGCCACACAGTCTCCTGCCACACAGTCTCCTGCCACACAGTCTCCTGCCACACAGTCTCCTGCCACACAGTCTCCTGCCACAGTCTCCTGCCACACAGTCTCCTGCCACACAGTCTCCTGCCACAGAGTCTCCTGCCACAGTCTCCTGCCACACCCTGCCACAGTCTCTCCTGCCACACAGTCTCCTGCCACAGTCTCCTGCCACACAGTCTCCTGCCACACAGTCTCCTGCCACACAGTCTCCTGCCACACAGTCTCCTGCCACACAGTCTCCTGCCACAGTCTCCTGCCACACAGTCTCCTGCCACACAGTCTCCTGCCACAGAGTCTCCTGCCACAGTCTCCTGCCACACCACCTCCTGCCACACAGTCTCCTGCCACAGTCTCCTGCCACACAGTCTCCTGCCACACAGTCTCCTGCCACAGTCTCCTGCCACACAGTCTCCTGCCACACAGTCTCCTGCCACACAGTATCCTGCCACACAGTCTCCTGCCACACAGTCTCCT